TAATAATTCACACACACGATCACAACATTAACTTACATGACAGGTAATGAAGGGAATATCATACAAGATAATCGACACCTCAAGTATGGATGCCACTCACCAGGCCAAGCTTCTGCAAGACATGGAAAATCGATACTAAATCATAGATGACTGTGGGTTCAAAACTTTTTGGGTTTCGGGTTGTACAAAGTACCGCTTAGCCATATACTATTTAGCGTAGTATTGCAAATATAAGAGCATGGCTAAGTGTACCCTAAAGGTATCGGGCTCATCTTTATATCCAGCCGTAGAAACAGAAACTCCATCAGAACCGAGCACTCGAAGCAGGAGATTCCGCGGCTCCAAGACGTACTTCGTGGACCGTGGCTTGTTTGGGTGGGGTAGGGCTGAGGGCTGCAGGCGACCAGGGCCAGGGTCGAGGCGTTTCCTTCCATTCTGGTAGGGTCTGTGGTTTTTACCAAGAGACATGTTGCAGTAGATGCCTCTGTCAGATGGAGCGTGCTGCCACAAGAAGGGCAACCGCCAGCTCACTGCAGCGGCCAGGCGACTTCGCCGACTCCGACAACATGGTATCAGAAAGCTCTCTTCGAGATGTTGTTGGTGAGAGTCTTGGTGAAGAGTGCAGCAAGTCTTGTGTCCCCCAGCTGTGTGAGCCCGGCCAAGGCTTCACCGAGGAGGTCGCGGACACCCTGGAGCCTCGACAGCGCATGGGGGAAATCAAAAAGGAGCAAAGAAGCCCTCCATTTTGCATCCTCTGAGGCAGCGCAGCTGGGGCCCGGCCCGTGGTGCCCCGCCGTCTTTCGGGGCTGAGGGAGAGCAGGGCGTTCTGGAAGGGCCGAGCCGAAGCAAGAGGGATGTTATGGCTCCAAGGCATGTCGAAAAGCTTGAGCAGCTTTTCTCCGGTGCCACCAACGAAGACCTTGAGGAGGCCGACCGCGGTTCAGTGAAACTACGGGCTGCGGGCATTTTCTTATATTTTCTTCTGATTCGCAGTGCAGGAGCCCGCCAGCCGTTCCTCCTCGCCGGCGAAGGATCTCGGCCACTTGTGTACAGCCAAGGTGGCCAGCGGCGTGTACTGTTGCTTCATGCGGCAGGGATGGCGGTCAGACTCGCCGCATCAGCAGTGGAGCTCGGCTTCTCCACTCCGGCGGCACGATGCCAAGCGAAGCGATGCGAAGCATTGCATTGCGAAGCGTGGGGCAAGAAGTGCTTCCTTCAAGCAGGCGACACACCGTAGGCTTTGCTTCCGAGGCAGGGCCGTGGCCGTGGTCTGCACATGGCTTCTCAGTCTCGCCTTTTGGTGGCCTCGCAGGCACCGAGTTACGATGCTGATGACCTGGAAGATGATGGGTGCGCCGAATGCGCTGGGGCTTGCATGCGATACCCCATCTGCTTCTGTGCATGGGCAGAAGAGCTGTCTTTGAGCCAATTTGGGTAACTGAGTCCGCAGCAAGTCACCAACATTACCCGTGCCTTGGTTTGGAGAGGCTCTGCCAGCTTTCAGCGCTAGTGGAGACAGCCCTGCGCGGCGACGAAGAGGTCCGGAAGGGGTCCGGAAATTTTAGAGACGGCTGAGGAACACCGACAGCGAGAATGGAGGGACAGAAGCCGAATCTACGAGCAGGCCACGAAGCTGCAGCATCTTTTGCGCAGGCCAAAGACGCTTGAGACCTGACAGAGTGAACAGCACATGCTCCTAAATTCGCGCCGTAGTCAGGACGTGGCACGTTGCACAGGCCCTGGAGCAGCAGAGGCGAAGGGGACAAGAGCTCCGAGCCTCCAACTGTTGCACCCCGCTCCGATTGCTTCCACAGGCATCGGCTCCAGGACGAGGCAGCTGAAGCCCACAAGCAGGCTGGGTCCCGGTCGCAGTGACACCGATACAGTACGGAACGGCCAAAGTGCCAGAAAGGCGAAGCTGCAGAGTGAGCGCGTCACAAGCGCGAGGGCCTTGCTACAGGTAGTATGTAAAGAACTTCCCACCATCAAGTCGCAAGCGCGGCTGGCTGGGGATCCACACGGGAGGGAGATTGTTCGCTGAACTCAGGCCGAAAACGCTCGAGTCTCTGCCGAGGCTGCTCCGGCTTTGCTTCGGGGGATTTTGGTCTGGCTGAGTCGAGGGCTCGATGTTAGAGGCGCCTGAGGTGCAAGGGCGCTATGGTCGGCGGAGCCCATGCGTTGCACTGATTGCGTTTGGGGGGGATGCGTAGCCCAGATTCGCCAAAAAACTGCAGGCCGCCGAGGCGGCAGCTCTCAGCGCCTTGCAGGTGGCCGGCCAGCGCCAGGTGGCAAGACGGGCTCCCAGTGGCTGTGATGCGGAGTTTCGGATCTTAACAGTATAAAACTGAAAGCTTAGACCGGCCCTTTCGTTCCAGTCCGAATGTCGAAGAGTGCTTGGACCGGGTTGCAGAAGGCGGCTGAATGAAGAGTAACCAAGCAGTAAGTGGTACAGTAAGGTATGCTCCGGAAGGGATTGACAGCTCGGCCACATTGAGTCCTTTCGCTTCGCGCCTGTTCAAGTGTGAAACGGGGCTGGGTAAATACTCCCATGACCCCTCGAGGAAGTGCGCAGCGCATGACACTGCATGTGCCGAAACGATTCTAAATGAACAGTAGATGTCTTGGGCTGTGTTTCTCGCCTTTGAGGTCGGGAGTTGATCAGGCGACGTGAGGAAGAGCTGGAGGAGGCCCGACAAAGCGACGGCCACCACCATGCATGCGGCATGTGTGCCAGTCCAAGCTGTACAGGCTCCTAACATGACTCGCCAAATCAGCTGTCCCATGCCCCGAACCGGTCCATGAAGGCGCTCACATGTCCGGGAAATGTAAGCCGGACATCATCGCTACCTGCCGAAGCCATCACTGGCAAAAAGAAATGGAACACAACCAAATCGAGCTCCAAAGCCCGAAAGCTTGAATAGACAACGGGCGCACTGCAAGACCGCAGCAGTGCACCAGATGATGATAATGATGATGATGATGATGGCGATGATGGTGGTGATGATGATGGTGATGATGATATTATTGATGATGATGATGGTGATGATGATGATGATTACTGTAATTGAATATTACGTAGCATTATTAGCATTATTGTTGTTATTGTTATCATTATGAGGCACAAACTACTATACTACTCAGACAAGTACATTGCATCGAATAACCTGAAGAAACCTCCCAAGGAAGCGACGGAATCAAGCCCCGCCCCGGCCTGGCAGGCTCGCCTGAGGTCCGAGGGCCTGGAGGGCGAGTTGGCCCGGCAGGCCGAGGTTTTTGGGGCAAGCCTTCTACTTCATGTTTCTTAAAGAGCAACTTTTGGAACAGCGGTCAACATGTATGTGTGTGTGTGTGGGTGGCAGTGGGATAAGACTTTTGACTTTGGAGGATAAGACAAAAATTGGCCGGGGCCAAGGCGAACTTAGGCTAAGTTAGTTTTCGGGTTTAGGTTCAGAAGCACACCAGAATCACTTCAACCGCCGAACACAGCTTGTTTGCTGGTCAAAGCAACTCGGTACAGGCGAAGGTTGGTGTAGAAAACTGGCAAGAGGTTACTGCGGTTGACTCAGACCGCGTTCGTCGCGAGTCGGACATGTCCGCCTACAGACCAAGTGCACAGGCGCTCATGAAGTTTAGATTACTGAGATGGCACGGTCCACGAAAACAACGAGACATTAGGCCCTAGCCAGCGGGCTTTCATTCTCCGCCAAGCTTGCAGTGTAGCACACTTGTGTGCGAAGTGGCAACTCTTTGCTTTTCATGCTTCAGTCGATGGACTTCGATGATTTGCACATGTCGATCGAAATTATACGGGTTCCGTCGCCATTTTGGAGCGAATGGTCCTCATAATCTTTTTTTCCGCCCTCCCAACCGGCTTTTGTTACGATTTTCCTCTGCCTTCAGTCTGCGAGTTCGGACAGGGAAACTTTCGGTCACCACAATCTCGAGAGACATTTCAATTAGAAATGCGAGATTCATCGGTTCAAGACTTCGAATGAAGTCGACACCGCACACTGCGCCACCGCAGTGAGAGCAGTTGAAAAACGAACAGTGGGCCAGGGATCTACGGGATTTGCTTGAGAGCTTCTGTTGTCCTGTTCTTCAGTTCGTAATCATCTCTTCATCATACAGATGACGGTGATACCCTACGAGGTAGACTACGGGTGAACAGTAGCCACAAGCACCTTTGTCTCAATGGTGTAGTGGGACAGACCCCGACAGAAATGTCAGGAACTCTGAGTTTAGGCATTCCAGGTTTCGCCAATTTGGTCGTTTTTGTGGTGCCGACAAGGCGGTCTTGCACAAAGAGGCGGCCGTGCTCCTCTCGCAGATGATCTTGTTTGCAGCAACTTAATAACCAACCAACACCCTGGCAACGCCTCACACGACCGCGAGACATCATGTTCCTCGCTTTGATTACAAAAGCCGGACTCGGTCTTCGTCGCAGTGGTTGGGCCTAGTATCCGCAATGGCAAATGAGGAAGCAGTCTGACCACTCTTGTTTCCAGGCAGTATTGTTTGCCTTCTCTCTCTCTCTCTCTCTCTCTCTCTCTCTCTCTCTCTACTTTCCACGCGGTTTCGCGCCGCTTGCCCGCACCGAATGCTGTACACTTCGCGACAGCGTTTCCGACAGATGGAGAATAGCCATGTAAAATCATATAAGAGACAAAGCCCACCCAACCGTTTGTGCGCTGTAACCCCACGCCCTGTAAGCCACCTCAAAAGCCCAAAGCCCAAAGTCCTACTGTGGGGCGGCGCTTTTGCGGACTCCTCTTCGGAAATGCCACGCGAAGTCAGACAGCAACTTGTGGAGGAGGCTACACTGGTTTTTGAGCACTTGCAGGGCGGAGCGTCGGTGACGAGACCTGGCGGTTACAACTTCCAGCAACTGGCACAACTTGCTGCGCTACGTGCTACCCGCTACGGCAGATGCCCGGTGCACAACAAAGCACAGGGAACAGCTTCCAGAGTAAACGCCCTTACTCAAACGCCTCGATGTCTCC